AGGGACACAGGCTCGGCGATACCTTGGTACCTCCGCCGACATCCGTCTGTCTCGGATTTACTCGGCTTAGCCACTGTGCACTCCACCACTGCCACAACACTTTTCATTGTATCTACAATCTTCCTGAGGGTCACTTAAAAACGTTTCTCCTGGGGACCAGCAGTTGGCATAGTGGCTATGTCGCTGGATTCCCAGGTAGTCGACTACAGTTCGAGTTCCGGACCTGGTGGCTTAAATTCACACCGGGCACGTGTGCGTGCGTGCCCAAGATCCTGAGAGGAGAATGGAGGAGAAGGGATTGCAGCGTGGCCATCCCCCTGGGGGGTGATTTCTCACTTTCTCTGTCTGTCTGGTGAGCACATGTGCCCCACAGCAAAAACCTCTCCAAAAAAAACCCCAAAACACGTTCCTCCTACTTTAGGCCTTTATAAGTAGTGCTTCAATGAACAGCGCCTCGTCTCCTCACACATCCGTGCCGATTCCGCGGGGTAGAGGAGTGGGATTACTGGGCAGCACTGCACGGCCATCTCTTCCACTCCCAGACTGCTTCCCAGAGCCGCTGCACCAGCTTCCACTCCAGCTGGCCTGTGGGAGCTCTGAGCGTCTAGATGGCAGCGGGGTGGCAGCCCCTGCTCACCAGGGGCTGATGATTTTTGCTGGGCTTATTGGTTGCCTGGTCCTCCTCTGTCAACTGCCAGGTGGTGACCTCTGCCCTCCTCTATCGGGTCATCTCTGTGACTGCCATGCAGAAGCATGCCGTGTTGTTTGGCTGGCAATCCTGTTACGGTGCTGCGTGTGCTTTTCCCATTCGTGGCTGGTCTGCCCTTTCCTCAGGGTTCCCTCCCCTTGCTGAGAGGTGCGCTTAGTTTTACGTGATTACTATGTGAAACAAAAAGTTCTACAAAACTGTTGTAAACGTTTTACAAAACTTTGTTTGCTGAACACACGTTTTTACTTTAGGGGCCTGGTGATGGTGCAGTGAGTGGTAACACAACTGGACTCCCATGGGGAAGGCCCTGGGTTCATGTCCTGGCCTGCCTGCACAGAGCTGGCATGTGAGATCTTGGCCGGCTAGGACTCGGGGTGGACTGCAGCAGGAAGACCCTGTTAGGGATGCCTGTTTATCTCCTTCTCCTATACAAGAAGTGATCTGGAAAAAAGTTGCTTTTAATATAGCTAAAATGATTGATGTTTTACTTTTTTCCTCTTAAGGTGTGTGTGCTCACTGGAGAGATGGAGAGACAGTGAGAGGGAAAATGAGAATCACCCCCTGCCCCCAAAAGGGGCATGGCCACACCGTAGTCCTTTCTCCTCTATTCTTCTCCTGGGATCCTGGGCATGCATGCACACGTGCCCAGCGTGAGTTTCAAGCCACTGGGTCTGGGATTCAATCTGTAGTCAGCCACGTAGGAGTCCAGCGACACAATCACCCCAAGGTTTGTGTTTTTTGTTTCTTAAGAAACCCTTCTTAACCTGAGTCAAGGGTTTTTGTAAGTCTTTTCTTCTATAGGTTACAAGTGACTGCTTCTCACATGTAAGTCTTCAACCTGCGTTGACTATCGTATACGGTGTGGGCAGAGGCAGATACAGGTTGGCTGACCTTCATGAAAACGAAATCAAAATTCTGAAAGTAACCAGTCCTCCCTGCATCATTTACTGCACGATCCATCTTTAATGCTGCCTCAGACACCTGTCAGCTTCTCTCGTGCAGTGATCCTGACCTGGCCCCTCTGTCCCGTCCTTGTCGCCTGTCCCTGCCCTGGTCTACACGGTCACTCCAGCCGTGTAGTCAGTCCCACCCGTGGCCTTGCTGCTCTTTAAAGCTCTTAGCTCTGCAGTCTTCCGCTCTTACTGGGCAGCACTGCACGGCCATCTCTTCCACTCCCAGACTGCTTCCCAGAGCCGCTGCACCAGCTTCCACTCCAGCTGGCCTGTGGGAGCTCTGAGCGTCTAGATGGCAGCGGGGTGGCAGCCCCTGCTCACCAGGGGCTGATGATTTTTGCTGGGCTTATTGGTTGCCTGGTCCTCCTCTGTCAACTGCCAGGTGGTGACCTCTGCCCTCCTCTATCGGGTCATCTCTGTGACTGCCATGCAGAAGCATGCCGTGTTGTTTGGCTGGCAATCCTGTTACGGTGCTGCGTGTGCTTTTCCCATTCGTGGCTGGTCTGCCCTTTCCTCAGGGTTCCCTCCCCTTGCTGAGAGGTGCGCTTAGTTTTACGTGATTACTATGTGAAACAAAAAGTTCTACAAAACTGTTGTAAACGTTTTACAAAACTTTGTTTGCTGAACACACGTTTTTACTTTAGGGGCCTGGTGATGGTGCAGTGAGTGGTAACACAACTGGACTCCCATGGGGAAGGCCCTGGGTTCATGTCCTGGCCTGCCTGCACAGAGCTGGCATGTGAGATCTTGGCCGGCTAGGACTCGGGGTGGACTGCAGCAGGAAGACCCTGTTAGGGATGCCTGTTTATCTCCTTCTCCTATACAAGAAGTGATCTGGAAAAAAGTTGCTTTTAATATAGCTAAAATGATTGATGTTTTACTTTTTTCCTCTTAAGGTGTGTGTGCTCACTGGAGAGATGGAGAGACAGTGAGAGGGAAAATGAGAATCACCCCCTGCCCCCAAAAGGGGCATGGCCACACCGTAGTCCTTTCTCCTCTATTCTTCTCCTGGGATCCTGGGCATGCATGCACACGTGCCCAGCGTGAGTTTCAAGCCACTGGGTCTGGGATTCAATCTGTAGTCAGCCACGTAGGAGTCCAGCGACACAATCACCCCAAGGTTTGTGTTTTTTGTTTCTTAAGAAACCCTTCTTAACCTGAGTCAAGGGTTTTTGTAAGTCTTTTCTTCTATAGGTTACAAGTGACTGCTTCTCACATGTAAGTCTTCAACCTGCGTTGACTATCGTATACGGTGTGGGCAGAGGCAGATACAGGTTGGCTGACCTTCATGAAAACGAAATCAAAATTCTGAAAGTAACCAGTCCTCCCTGCATCATTTACTGCACGATCCATCTTTAATGCTGCCTCAGACACCTGTCAGCTTCTCTCGTGCAGTGATCCTGACCTGGCCCCTCTGTCCCGTCCTTGTCGCCTGTCCCTGCCCTGGTCTACACGGTCACTCCAGCCGTGTAGTCAGTCCCACCCGTGGCCTTGCTGCTCTTTAAAGCTCTTAGCTCTGCAGTTCCTGTGAACGTATTCTGTTTATTTCCTTTACTCTCGTCTACCCGGTCTCTCACTGGAATTACGCTCAATTTCCAGACTTGGGAAGAGCTGACACCTGTACTGTTGTGGGGCTTCCCTTCCAGGAGCCTGAGTTGAAGCTTCCTTTAATATTGCTTAGGATTTGTATAATATTCTCCAAAAAGGTCTTACAAGTCTTTTGTAGAATATATTCCTAGGCACCGTGCAGTTTTCTGTATATCGATCTTGGAACCTTTGGACCCTCTTGTCAGATCTAATAGTTTATCTGTGCAGTTTCTTGAATCTCCTGAATCTCTTGACATATGAAGTTTCACATTTTCCTTCTAAATTCGCTTTACCTCTCCTTGGATTTCTGCTGCTTACTGTCCTGTGCGGGGAGGAGGCGCAGCACTGCTGAAGGTGCTCTGAAGCTCTCATGACGTGTGCGGTTGGCTGTAGGTTTTGCTCACTACCTATACCAGGTGCAAGGTCCTTCTCATCCTATTCCTAGTTTGCTCTAAAACCTTTTTTATTTAAAAAAAAATTATTTTATTTACCATCATTAATTTTATTTATTTTAATTTGACCAGAGAGGGACAGAGTGAGAGAGAGATGGAAAGCAAGCTGCCAAGTCCAGGACTCGAATTGTGGTCGGCCATGTGGGAGTCCAGTGCTCTTTTTTTTTTTTTCTTTTTGAGGGGTTTTCGCTCTAGGGCATGTGCGCTCGCCAGACAGACAGAGAGAGACAGAGAGGCACCCCAGGGGTGATTTCTCCTCCATTCTCCTCTCGGGATCTTGGGCACACATGCACACGTGAGTTTTAAGCCATCGAGTCCGGGATGTGAACCACAGTCGACTACGTGGGAGTCCAGCGACATAGCCATTACGCTAACTGCTGGTCCCTCCAGTGCTCTTAAGCACCACACCATCTGCTGGCCCCATCCCTAAATTCTTTTAAAAATCATGAACTGGTATTGGATTTTTAATATCAATTTTTTTTTTGTAGAGGGTTTATTTTTATTTTATTTTTATTTTGCTATAGGGCATGTGTGCTCACCAGAAGACAGAGAGAGACAGAGAGAAAGTAAGAAATCATCCCCCATGGGGGATGGCCACGCTGCAATCCCTTCTCTTCCATTCTCCTCTAGGGATCTTGGGCATGCATGCATACGCACCCGGCGTGAGTTTAAGCCACCGGGTCTGGGACTTGAACCGCGGTCGACTAGATGGGAGTCCAGCGACATAGCCATTACACCAACTGCTGGTCCCTTAATATTAAATATTATCCTGTGCTGTCTTCCGGATCATCTGTTGAATTAGCCATGTTGTTTCCCCCACCCCCATTTTTTTTTAGGTTTTGCCATAGTGTGCGTGTGCTTGCTACAGAGTGACACAGACAGACAAAGGGAATGTGAGAAATCACCTCCTGGAAGGCATGGTCACACCGCCATCCCTTCTTCTGCATTTTCCTCTCGGGGTTTTGGGCATGCACGCACACATGCCTGATATGAGTTTTAGGCCACCAGCTCTAGGACTTGGACAGCAGTTAGGTCAGCCATGAGGGAGTCCAGTGCCTTAACCACACCATCTGCTGGCCCCTTTCTTCTCTAATTTGGCAGTGAGGTGTAGTGCAGAGTATTTATGTGTGTGTGTGTGTGTGTGTGTGTATTTATGTGTGTGTGTATGTGTGTATATATTATATATGTGTTTGTGTATATATATGTCTGTGCATGTGTGTATATATACCTGTGTATATGTGTGTGCACGTGTATATGTGTGTGTACATGTGTGTATATATGTGTATGTGTGTATATGCATGTATATGTATGTGTGTATGTGTGTATGTGTGTGCATATATATGTGTCTGTCTATACATCTGTGCCTGCATGTGTGTATATGTAACATACATGTGTGCATGTGTATATATGTGTTGGTATGTGTATATGTGTGTATGTGCGTATATGTGTGCATGTGTATATATGCATAACTTGTACATATAATGTATACATGTGTATATGTGTGAGTGTGTATATATGTGTGTGCATGAGTGTATATATAATACATGTGTGTGCTCTGCATGTTTATATGTGTGAGTGCATATATGCAAATGTATATATACAGATGTGCGGATGCATACATGTGTGCATGCAGGTATATGTGTACATATGTGTATATGTGTACACGTGCGTATATATGTGTGTATGCACAAGCATGCATGTGTGCACGTGCATACATGCATCTGCACACATGTATATACATATGCGTAACATGTGGGCATATGTACATATATGTATATGTGCGTGCATGTGTGTATTGTGTTTATGTATGTGTGTATGTGTATAGTGTGTGTATGTGTGTATGCATATGTGCATGCATGTTTGTGTGTATATATGTGCATGTGTATGTATACATATGTGTGTATGTATATATGTTTGTGTGTGTATATATATATAAATATGTTTTATCTATGATATATATCACATATACTATACATTACAATAAATACATATAAATTTACTAGAGGGTATGTGCACTTGCCATAGGGCGAGCGAGCGAGAGAGAGAAAGTGAGAGAAAGTGAGGAAGGAGGATGGCTACTCCACAATTCCTTCTCTGCCGTTTCTCTTTCTGGGATTCTGATCTTGCACACGCTCGCGCCTGGTATGTTTCTCAAGCTGCTGGGTCTGGGACTTGACTCGCACAGTCAGCCATGTGGGGTCAGCCATCTTAACCACCACACCACCAGCTGGTCCATAACATATTCTTAGCATCGCCATTCTTGCATTCTTGGAAAAACTGACTTAACTACCATATACTGGGTTGCTGGAAAAGTCATGTGTACTTTTTTCTATGCAGAAATACATCATGGCTCTTCCGGTGAGCCATAGTAGTAGTGCTTTTTAAAATGCACCTGCTAGCTGGTATTTCATTTGTGGTCACAGTGACGGTGACCTAAGTTTTCTCTTGCTGTCCTTGGCAGCTCGGTATGGCGTTTCTACTGGCTTCATGAAAGAGCTGACTTCCCCCCATCTTTACACACCCTCTGAAACAACGTATATGAATAGGACTATCTATGTCTCGGAGACCTGGTAAAACTTCTCTTGAATCATCTGATACCATGTCTTGTAGAAGCTGTGAACTGCTGTTCGAAAACTTACCTTTATGCCAATAATATCACCATCTTTCAAGTAATAAGGCGCCCCTTGCAAATTATCTTGCTGCTTCTTCTTTTTCCTCTTGGTAATTTGCTGGTTCTAAAGGAAAATAATATCTAAATAAACAAAACTTAACTTCTACCTAAATTCCCTATCACCATGTATAACTGAGTAACCTACTCGTTATGCCCTCAGCCCCAATTTCTGAGAAAGCTTTGTGCAACTTTACCCAGCTAGATATCGGAAGCCACTCAAACTTCTCAGGAAAGTATTTGGCAATTTCAATTTTCTCCACAGGCAGAGAACAGAGATCGGCCACTTTCTGCCGCAGGGAGCTGGCAGTCCAGCCTCGGGCAGTGTCCCACACCAGGTCCGTGGCCGGGCCATAGGCTCTCTCACCCGGGATGCGCACCTGTGTCCTCAGCAGGATGTCCTGGGGACTGCACAGAAAAGTCAAATGTCAGACTCAGAGCAACTGAAATGAAAAGTGCCTGGGATCTGTTGGGGCCAGATGAATGGAACTTTCCCGCCGGCATCCTCTGGCTTTTACAGACTAGGAGAGATTTCCTTCGGTCCTGTAGGCTGCCAGGAAACCCTCACTGCCCTTTGCTTTCCTTCCGTCTCGATTAACAGCAGAGGCAGAGAGCCCACCCCAAGTCTGTAGCAGAGCCTGGGGTGAGGCTGGCTGGAGGGACCTTCCCGGGTAAGGCAAGGAGGGAAAGGGTGGCCAGGAAAGGGTGGGAGAGGTCCGGTGTCACTGAGGTGTCAAGCCATGGGGACCCCTAGGGAATGCCAGCTCCAGAGCCAGACTGCGGAAGCTGGCAGGAAGAGAGCGGGGTTGAGGCTGACAGGCACTTGTTCTGAGGTGCCATGAAGCCGAGTTACTGTGAGGCGGCCAGGGAGAGGAATCCGAGGCCAGACACGCAGAGGAGGTGAGGACGCATGGCCGCAGCTAAGGGAGCAGGAGAACCTTCTCGGGAAAGTCCCGGTGGGAGGGAGGGGAAGGCTCAGAGAGTGGGGAGTACTGAGACTGGGAGACAGATGTGGAGCAGGACCACGTGAGGACCGGAAGGTGGGGGGAATGGCTGGCTGACAGCGAGTCTGGGGAGCCGTGCTGCTGTGACCCGGGCGCTCCCAAAGAGGCCAGTGAGATACGAGATGTGAGGAGGGGATCACCTGCAGGGAAGGGGACCTGGGAGGATGTGGGCCTGGCTAAGAGCGAGGGGGCGAGGGGCAGGCTGCACACAGAGGGTTCTGGAGATGGCTCCTGGGCGGGGCGGTCCCCATGCCACGAGGCCAGAGAGTGGGACTCTCTGTGTTGCGTGAGATGGGCTTCAAGTGCCCGACCCCAGGCGCATCCTTCTAGACTCAGTCTGTTCAAGTTGTGAGATGACTTAGAAGCGGTGGAAAAACTACTCCATGATTAAGTTGTGGAACCTGGGAGAGACGAACTCCCCAATGCGGTAACTCATGTGTGCAGGGAACCTCACGGTGCAGGGGAGTGCCTTACCCCAAGTGTTCTTCCTCCTGCAGGGGCTCTAAGCAGACCGCAGGCCTCTGTCCTAGTCTATAGTCCCTGATGAGTGAAACAAAATATCAAGTGACATTTCACTTAATGTTTTCATCCACTGTTTGCTGACTTTCAGCTTTAAAGGATTGCTTTTTGACTCCAGGGTGAACACACTTGGGCTTCAGCTTTGGGAAAGGGGAGAGCCTCAAGTACTTGCTGTGGCGACGGCTGAGTTCTGGGCCAGTCCCTGCTGAAAAAAAAAACCAGTCCCTGCTGAGCGGGGTTCAGCTCTTACAGGCCCATGTCAAAAAATCTTCCTCTGTTCAGCCCAGGTCTCGCTGTTTGGAGTGGTAATCAGAACCAAGGTGGAGGAACCCTCAGGACTGCTTTTTCGCAAAGGAAATGAACAACTAAGTCCAGCCCCAGAGATGCTCCCCGGGGTCAGAGCTGTGGGGAGAGCACCTGCTGGACCGCACTTCTGAGTGAGCAACGCTCTCCCCAGCTCCCACTTCACCCGAAGACCTTGATGCACGAAAAAGTCAGGCCCTGGAGCATAAAAAATTCACAAACGCTACTGTCATGCTTCATGTAGAAAACTAAAGTTCTCCCAGACCTGAATGGATTATAAAAAGCTGACGTCATCTAACTATTGACAAATGTGGGGTTCCCATCAGCCGCCTTCTGTTACCATCCAGCCAGGAGCCGGTTCCCGCACTGCTATCCCACTGCCCGGCCCTGCGTGGCAGAGGGCAGGGAGGGCTGTGAGTTCCCCAGGAAGCCTACCTGAGCTGCTGCCGGTCGGCTCGGAGAAGCCTGCCTAGGCGCGTATTCTCCACCGTCCATGCTCTGAGGAAGGCCGGGGACGGAGCGCCGAACTCTGAGAGAGAGGGCAAGGTCATGGCCTAGGGAAGAAACAGCCATTTCGGAAGTGGTCTTTAGAAGTGCTCTTAAAACCTGTCTTAGAGAACAGACAACACCAGAAAAGCACTGCTCAATGACATCAGGGGTGGGCCCCCCAGGGGTAAGACACATCTCTTAAATTAATCCTGAGTGCTTTCCGCTTTCCTCCCCACTGAGATCAGTCTGAGAAATAAGTGAAACTTTATCTTCTATATCTAAGCCTAAAACTAATTTTTCATCATTGCATTTTAAAAAATGAAACTCTATGGGCCAGCCAGGTGGCGTGGTGGTGAAGGGGCTGATCCCACATGGCTGACTGTGGCTGAGGCCTGGGCCTTGAAAAACAGACTGTGTGTGTGTGTGTGTGTGTGTGTGTGTGTGTGTGTAACATCCCCCGAGGGGAGTGGAGAATAAGGATGTGCGACACAGTCATCGTCTCTAGGGGATGGTTTCTCTCTCTCTCTCTTCTAATCTCTCTCTCTCTGGTGAGGGCACACACCCTATAGCAAAACTATATAGAAAAAGAAAAAAAAAAAGACTTTCTAGACCAAACGTCTCCCAGGTCTGCTTCCCACATGCAGAGTCCACGCGAATTGAAGCGAGGACCCAGCTCCCACTGCCCTCGGCAGACGCAGTTCTTCAGCAGCGTCGGCTCTGCCACCAAGATCCGCACTTCCGATCTAAGATTTCATTAGGCACGGCTCTGATCAGCAGGCCCCGAGCTGCTTGTTCTAACTCCACAGCGACAGGTACTCTATGCACCTATTTACATGTAAGTTGAAGCATATAAAGTTGCCAATGTTCATCCATTTTTGACCTAAAAAATAACAAGTTTGCTATCTTTCAACCTAATACAAGGAGGAAATGCCTTCCCACTTGTTCCCATGAGCATCGGCCCTTTGCTTGTTCTCGAGGAAGGTTATTTCTCACAGTGCGGACACACGATAGCCACCCCGAGGGTGGCTGCTCAAACATGCCCCGTGTCTTCCTTTAAGAGAAAGGTGTCCATGTCAGTGCGAGGGCAGCAGAGTGCTTCTTTGACATTCGTGTTGGGATCTGCCTTCCTACTTGGGCAAAGCCTTCCTTCTCTGAAGGTTAACCAGGTCTGGCTTAGCCCCCTGAGCTCCTGGGAAACCGATGACCTAGCCCCTCACTGACGACATTTAGCAGTGGATCACAGTGGGACGGAATGATGTAAGTAGAGGGTAGAGTAAATGCTTCACGAATGGTTCAAGAAACCATGTTTCCCTAAAAAATAAAAATGAACATAAGCTTCAAGTCACTGAGGGCAGATCTGAAGAAAAGCACAGCATGCCTGTCAGTGTAGGCGGTGAGGGCCAGAGGGCGGCTGGCAGGGACAGACACCAGGAGCTGTGGCCAGCGGCGGGCTGCCTGCAGGTACTTACCACTGAACATGGCATAGAACAAATGCCATATCAGAACAGACTGTAATTGAGGGAAAAGGAGACAGAAGAATCCATTAATATCTCACTGGGGAAGCTGCATCACCGTAAAGCACAATGCAGAGAGGAGTCTGACCTGAGACTTGAGATCGGCCAGGGAGGCGACGTCCGCGATCTCCACGTCTCCCAGGTAGAGGAGAGGCTCCCCGGGAGGCCCGCCTCCAGGAGCGCCTTCAAGAGGACAGAGCTGGGTGTTTGAGAGGAGCTGGAAACTTCTCATCTCATCTTCCCAAAACACACTGCCACGTTCTACTACTGAAAATAGGCTTTTAAAAAAAATACGTAGAGGGTTTCTTTTCCCCTTAGGGCATGTGTGCTTGTCGGAGAGAGACAGACACAGTTAGAGGAAACGTGAGAAATCACCACCCCAAGGGCATGGCCCTGCCCCAATCCCTTCTCCATTCTCCTCCCAGGAGATCTTGGGCATGTGCACACGTGTGCCTGGGGTGATTTTCATGCTTGCCACCGGGTCCAGGACTTGAACCACGGTCACCCATGTGGGAGTCCAGCAATATAGCCACCATCTGCAGGCCATCTGCTGGTCCTGGGAACAGGCTTATTGAAACCCCGTTGGGAATGGAATCTACGGACTGGTGGTTAAGGTGCTGGTCCCCCACGTGGTTTGAGTCTTGGACCCAGCAGCTTGAGAAACGTGGGATGCACGTGCACGGGGGAGAGACGGGGGCAGGACCATGGCATGATCGAGCTCCAGAGGCCTCTCTTCTCTCGCTCCTTCCTGGTGAGTGCACACACCCTCTGGCAATACGTAAGTGAAAGCTGGTACTAGATTTGAAATGCAGAATGTTTTCACTCATTTCTACTTTAATGAAATGTCTCTGCTTATTGCGGAGCACACTGCTGAAACATAATCAGAAATTATAGATATATTATAAATTTAGTGAAAATGCTCTCTTCCTCAGTGGTTTTGGCACTATGCAAAAGACACTTTCAGGAAATCCTAAAGAATGAAACCTACTGCCTGTTTATTATGATACAGGGTAATACCAAAAAGTGAACCTTCATATTTACTTGTTCTGTAAAACATGCTGATTAAACATGCTTTTAAGTCTGTGCCCAGGAACCAGCAGCAGGTGGCGTGGTAGTTAAGGCGCTAGACTCCCACATGGCTGAAGTTGGCCTGAGTCCTGGGTCCCACAGCTTGCAAATGATGCTGGGCGTGTTGCATGTGTGCCCCAAATCCCAAGAGACTGGAGGAGAAGGGATTGTGGTGGGGTGGCCATTCCTG